ACAGAGCAACCCGCCATTCAGTCCCTATCTCCACACCCCTTCACGCCTCTAGCGCTCTTCACACAGGGCAGCTACTCAGTGCGCTTAACGTTGGCGGAGCCTGACCCCAAGCCGGCGAAGGGGGGAGGTGACCGTAAGCACGATCGAAGAGGAAGGTCTTCAGTTGTGATCTGAAGATGGGGAAAGAGTGGGCAAGGGAGAGGGGATAGAGGAAGAGAATTCCAGAGTCTGGGGCATAGTGGCTGAAGGCACGGCCGCCGATGGTGGAGCAGAGGGGACAAGGGACAAACAGGAGGCCGGAGCCAGCTGAGAGGAGGCAGAGGGTGCTGGAGTGGGGGTAAGTGGATCGGAGAGGTAGGGAGGTGCCAGGGCATGGAGGGATTTGAGGACGAGTGTGAGGAAGGTTGATGATGAAGATTTGTAGGTGGGTGTGAGGATCCAGCATATAGAATGAGGGGTATCTAGGGTTCTGAACTAATTTCCTTATCTACTTCCCTCCTGAAACCCACAATGGATTTGGCCACTACACCTTATTGACAGCACACTCCACATCCCAACAACTCTCCGAGTGAAGAAATCTCTCCAAAGCTCTCCTTCGGTGCACTGTCTTTCCTGCATTTCATCCACGTTTCGTCAGCTCCCACCTTAATTTCTCCAACACACTCCTTGTCAGTCTCCGCAGTGCCACGACAAAGCCCAACTGATCCAGAGCTCACTCCCCGAATCCTCACCAACACTAAACTCCGTACCCAATCACGCCAGTCCTCGCCAAGCTCCACTGGCTCCCTATCACGCACTAAATCACCTTGGTCCACCAGCCACCTCCGCTCCCTTAAAGCCCAGGCGTGTTCCGCTGAGCGCGCCTGGCTTAAATCAAACCTAACTGTCCACCAGAGGATTTGGTTGGACCATGTCAAATCCTACCCCCCGCTCCACCCTCACCTCTGCTAAATCGTCGTTCTACTCCAAGACAATTTTGGAGGTTAAGGACAACCCCAGGCTCCTCTTCTCCATCACAAATCAACTCCTCGGCCCACCCTCTTACGCCTCACCCATCCTCACCTCAAATGCCAACTGCGAGGCGATGCTGGAATCCAAAATCGAGGGAATCTGCTCAGCTGCATCTACCACTGCAACTGCTACACCCTCCCCATCTCCTCCTCCCACCCTCCCTCCACACCTTTGAACCCGTCTCCCCCTCCTCTCTCATCACCACCATAACCCATATGAAACCCACCATCTGCTCCCTTGATCCCATCCCTATCCCCCTCCTCACCTCCCAGCTCCACCTTCTTGCCCCTCTACTCACTGACATTGTTAACCTCTCCCAATCCTCTGGTACTGTTCCCACCCCTTTATAAACCGCTGTCATCACTCCTATCCTTAAAAAAATCCTCCCTGGACCCTTCTGTACTCCCTAACTACCGCCCCATCTCCAACCTCTCCTTCCTCTCCAAGGTCCTGGAATAAGTTGTTGCTTCTCAGCTTCGCACCTTCCTCTCCCGCCACTCCTTTCTTGAACCCCTCCAATCAGATTTCCAATCCGCCCACAGCACAGACACAGCCCTGGTCATCGACAAATGACATTCTGTACATCTGCGACCAGGGCTCCCTCTGCCTCCTCGTCCTGCTTGACCTCTCTGCTGCCTTCGACACCGTTGACCACTCTATCCTCATCCACTGCCTCTCCTCTCACCTCAACTTCCACGGCGCTGTCCTTGATTGGTTCAGATCATACCTCTCACACCCCCTGCACTTCATCTCCTCAAACGGCTTCTCCTCCAGCCCCCACACCGTCTCGTGCGGTGTTCCTCAGGGCTCTGTCCTTGTCCCCTCCTCTTCAATATCTATATGCTCCTCTTGGTGACATCATCCACAGACATGGGGTCAACTTCCACATGTATGACACCCAACTCTCCCTCTCTGCCTCCGCCCTCGACTCCAGGACCCACTGCTGTCCTGACAGAATGTCTGTCAGACATCAAGTCCTGGATGAGAGCGAACTTTCTTCAGTTGAACGTCAACAAAACTGAGGCTCCTGATTGACTCCCGTCAGCGCCTCCTCACCTCAGGCGCTGACAGCATCACCATCCATGGGGCTCACTCCACCTCACTGAGCCAGTCCCGAACCTTGGGGTCTTGTTTGACCCTCAACTATCCTTTCTACCCCACATCTGTGCCATGGCCCTCTCTGCCTTCCCCCACCTTCACCCGGCTCCCTCACTGTCTCACATCACAGGCCCCCGAAACCCTCACACACCTTAATTACATCGAGGCTCGACTGTGCAATCTCCCTGCTTGTCGGCCTCACCAACTCCTTCCTCCATAGGCTGCAGATCATCCAGAACTCTACAGCCTGTGTCCTCTCCCGCACTAGGCTCCCCAACTGAAACCCCCCCAACCTTGCAACTCCACTGGCTTCCCATCACGCAGAGGATACAGTTCAAGATCATGGTCCTCACCTTCAAAGTCCTCCACGGTCTTGCTCCCTCCTACCTCTCCAACCTCCTAACCCCTACCACCCTGAGACGCCGTCTGGCATGGAGGGCGCTATATAAATCCAAGTTGTTGTTGCTGTTGTTATTCGCTCTCTCCACTCAGCGGGCTCCGGCCTGCTTCACTTCCCCCACCTTGCTCGCTGGGCGAGCCTTCAGCCTCTCTGCACCCACCCTCTGGAACGCCATTCCCAGTCCCTCCATCTCACCCCCTCCCTCGCCACCTTCAAGACCCTCCTCTTCGACTGTGCTTTTGATCTCCCTGCTTCCCCCCCTGCCCTCTCCATTCCCAACCCTCGGCTCGGGTCCGTAACTCTGCCTGTCCAGCACCTTGGGACGTCCTCCCGACGTGAAAGGAGCTATATGAATGTAATTTTGTAGTTGTTGTTGTTGTAAACTCCGTACCCCCATCAAACCAATCCTCGCCAGGCTGCACTGACTCCCTATTGCCTCACAATCCACCGCCAGCTGTGGCTCGAGGATCTCCGCACTTATCGCCTCTCCCTCTCACAGGCCAAAACTGCCTTTTACTCCAAAACCATTTTGGAGACCAAAAACATCCCAAAGGTACCATCCATCACCTCCTCTGCGCACCCGCTCCATCCTCACTGCAAACTCCAAGTATGAAGAGGTCCTAGACTTCTTTGCGTCAAAGATTGAAAATATCTGCTTGGTTGCATCCTCCTTCCCTACGTCCTCTTCCGCACCCCCCAAACCATCTACACCACTCCCTCCTTCCACCATGGACCCTACCACTCCTTTGCCCCTTAACCACAATCACCCGGGTGAAGTTCGCCACCTGCTGCCTACACTCCCTCCCCACCCAGGTGCTGGTCACCCAACTCCCCCTCCTCTCCCCTCTATTGGCAAACACAGTCAACCAGTCACTCTCCTCAGGTTCTGTTCCTCTCCCCCTTAAAACCCCTGACAGCACTCCCCTCCTCAAAAAAAACATTCTTGACCCCTCCAACCTCATAAAATACCGACCTATTTCCAACCTGCCCTTCCTTGCCAAATCTCTGGAACGCTTTGTCGCTAACCAGCTTTGCTCTCACCTATTCCTTCCTCATTGAGCCCCTCCTGCCTGGTTTCCGCCTTGCCCATAGCACGGAGACGGCCAAGGTCATAAACCTCACTGCCACATTTGACACAGTCGACAACGCCATCCTCATCCACCCATCTCCTGCCTCATCCACTCCAAGGCTCCATCCTTTGCACCCTCCTCATCCTCATCTATATACCCACAAATATACAGTCAATTCACTTTACAGTGTGTTCTGTGAAGCGCTTTGGGACGTCCTCCTGACGTGAAAAGTGCTATATCAAATGCAAGTATTATTATTATATGCTCCCTCTTGGCGACATCATCTGCAGACATGGGGTAAACTTCCACATGTATGCAGCTGACACACAAATCTATTTCTTCTCCAGCTGCGACTCCAGGTCCGCCGATGTTCTCTCGGGTTGTCTGGCGGACATCAGTGCCCCGATGAGCGAAAACCTCCTACAACCACAACAACAAGATTCCATTTATAGAATGTCTTTCACGTCGGGAGGACGTCCCAAAGCGCTGAAACCAAATGTTGACAAACCAGAAGACAGACTCATTGGTTCCCATCAACATCTTCTATTCTGCGGCTTTGACCTCCTCAACCTCTCCGGCCTATCCCTTAGACACACCTGCTTACTCCCCAACCCACACTGCCTCCACTTGACTGCCTTGTCCCTCTGTTCCACCATTGGTGGCTGCACTTTCAGCCGCTTACGCCCCGAAACTCTTCACTCTCTCCCTCCATCGCTCCGCCTTGCCCCTTCCTTCCCCATCTTCAGGTCGCGCATGAAGACCTTCCTCCTTGACCGTGCCTCGGCCACCTCCCCCCGGCTCGGCGTCGCGCTCCGCCACTGTCAAGCGCTCTGGGCTCCTATTTATACGCTGTATAAATTGTTGCATTGCATGTGTCTCCGACATTGCACCCGCTCCCTACATTGCATGTGTCCCTGTAATTCACCTTCTCTGCGCATTGCATTCTCTGTTTAATTGCATTTGGGCCCTGCACTGCACCCACTTCCTGCATTGCGTTTATTCCCTGCATTGCACACACTCCCTGATTGCACTCGCTTCCTGCAATGCATTGCAGCGGGACCCTAATTGCATTTGTTCCCTGCAATCCATCACAACCCTCCTTGCATTGCAATGGTTCCTGCAATGCACCTGCTCTCTGCATTGCATTCACTCCCTAATTGCATTGCCCCCTGCGTTGCGAACACCTGCATTGCACAAGGCGTGGGATCCTGGTGGCGCGGGGACTGCCGGGATACAGGAGGACTGATGGCGGGCTGTGGCGCGGGGGCTGCCGGGATGCAGGAGGACTGATGGCGGGCTGTGGCGCGGGGGCTGCCGGGATGCAGGAGGACTGATGGCGGGCTGTGGCGCGGGGGCTGCCGGGATGCAGGAGGACTGATGGCGGGCTGTGGCGCGGGGTTTGCCGGGATACAGGAGGAGTGATGGCGGGGCGCGGCGCCGGGATGCTGCAGGAGGAGGCGCTGAAGCGGAAAGAGCGGCTGCGGGCTCTGAGGGAGCGGCACGGCCAGGTGAGGCCTCGGGCAGCGTTTCAACTGTACTCCCAGGCCTCGGGCTCGGCCTAGTTACAATAATATGATACCATTCCCTGCATTTGATACAGCGCCTTATCACGTCTTCAAGACGCCTCAGCAGCGTCCCACAGCAGCCTTAATATTATACTAATATAACACACAATAATATAATAATACAGCGTACACACACAATAACATAATATAATGTACACACACAATAACATAATATAATGTACACACACACAATAACTAACATGTACACACAATAACAATATAACGTACACACAACAATATAACGTACACACAGAAAATAACATAATATAATGTACACACAATAACATAATATAATGTGCACACACAATAACATATAATGTACACACACACAATAACTAACATGTACACACAATAACAATATAATGTACACACAATAACAATATAACATGTACACACACAATAACATAATATAACACACACAGAAAATAACATAATATAACGTACACACACAATAACATAATATAATGTACACACACAATAACATAATAATATAACATGTACACACACATAATAACATAATATAACATATACACACACATAATAACATAATATAACATGTACACACACACAATAACATAATATAACACATACACTCAGACAATAACATAATATAACACATACACTCAGACAATAACATAATATAAAACACATACAGACCATAACATAACACGTACACACAGACAATAACAATATAACACACATGCAATAATATAATATAACACGCACAGACTATAATATAAGACTCACCGGCTATAATATAATATAAACACACATACTATAATATAATAATATAACACACACAGGCTATAATATAATATAAACACACACAGAAAATAATATAATAATATAACACTCACACAGACTATAATATAACACACACAGACTATAATATAACACACAAATAATGATAATAATAATCCTTGCATTTGATATAGCGCTTTTCACGTCGGGAGGACGTCCCAAAGCGCTTCACAGAACACACTGTAAAGTGAATTGACTGTATATTTGTGGGCGAACGCGGCAGCCAATTGCGCACAGCAATGTCCCACAAACAGTCGTAGATTGAAAATGACCAATTTATTATTGTTTTTGGTTTTGGAGGGATTATTATTAGGCTCTGTGTGGAGTAAGGAAACTTGCCCAAGGTTTCGCCCTCTGCCTGGAATTGAACTCAGGTCTCTCACTTGCAAAGCGAGTGCTCTAACCACTGAGCTACAGGACTCCATAATATAATAATATAACACACACAGACAATAATATAATAATATAACACACACTGACAATAATATGATAATTATAACACCGCATTCTATATATATACGCATTCTATAATATATAATACAGACCATAATATAATGTAACCCTGACAATATAATAATATAACACAGACCTAATATAAACCACAGACTGAGAATAATATAATAATAATAACTGATACTGTAAATAAGACTATTCAGAAACACAAAATACTTGGGTGAACAAAATATCAACCTCCTGCAGAGAATATCTTTTTTAGGACGCTCAAATATATTAAGAAAAGTAACCTCCATCCAGTTGTAACTTGCAGTTTTATTGGTCTGGCTGACCATCACTGAAAACCATTTAGGAATTACCTCTACCAAGTGATTTAAACTAATAATATAATAATAATCTAAGTAATCCAACAGACAGATTAAGAGAATAATGTATGTCATGCGAGAAGTGGGGTGGCTGAGCTGGCTCCCAGGTGACTTGAAGACAGAATGTCGGGAGTTTTCTGGCCGACAACCCCCAAATTGGTTATAAAATTTCTCCCTCACTCAATCCAAGGCGTTTGTGGGAGCACTGCTGGGTGCAAAGCAGTTGCCGTGTTCGCCCACAAAACATAGTCACCACACTTTAACTGTAAACATTTTGTGCAGTGCTATCTATCACCTTATGATAGCAATATAATATAATAATATAACACATCTTATTGCTATCATAAGGTGCTATATCAAATGTAAAGGTGAAGGTCTCCAGTCCGGGTCCTGACCAGGAGGGGCCGCAGTGTCCCAGGGCACTCACTGCTGATGGCAGCACAGCCCGGCCCGGCTCATCAGCAGGACCTGGAAGGGCCGACCAGTCACTGGGGGCCGGGAATCCTCCCCCTCAGCTCTGGTAACCCACAGCCAAAGCCCTAACTAACGGGGAGGGGGGTCCTCGCTGGACAAGCAGCGGGAAAGCTGCCGGACAGTGATATCAATGGCCGAGCGGTGTGGGTTTAGCCGGTTACACTCCAGCAGTTACCCCAACACACACTCTGGGATCCTCAATCCGAATGTCTCCAAATGGCCGTAGGTTTGTGTAATGGTCGACCCTATTGGAAAAGAGAAGGGAAGGAGTTCCTTTCTCTTTCTCGGTGTCCTGACCGACAGATAAAATTGGTCACTCACTTCATGGTTTGTGGGATGTTACTGACAAGCACACAGTCACTAATAATCCTTACATTTGATACAGTGTCTTTCACATTGGGATGGTGTCTCACAGCACTTCAGGATTCGCTGCAAATTGGAATGACTGGAACACGACAGCCAATTTGCACACAACGACATCCCTGTGGAGTCCTGTAGCTCAGTGGTTAGAGCACTCGCCTCACAAGCGAGAGGACCTGGGTTCGATTCCCGAGCAGGGCAAAACATTAGGCAAGTTTCCTTACTCCACGAACCTCTGTTTACATAGCAGTAAGTAGGAACCTGGTTGTTAATCGAATGGCGGATCGCTTTCTGGGGGTAATAATCCCTTCAAAAAAAATTTGGTTACTCAATCTACAATTGTTTGTGCGACACTGCTGTGCACAATTGGCTGCAGTGTTTTGCCCACACAATATACAGTCAATTCACTTCAGTATATTCTGTGAAATGCTTTTAAGACGTTTCGAAGACGTGATAAGGTGCTGTATCAAATGCAAGGATTATTATTATCCCACAAACAGCAGTGAAGTGAACGACCACTTTTTCTATCTGGGGGAATGTCGGCCAGGATGCCGGGAGAGAGAGAGAAACTCCTTTTCTTTTCTCAGGGCATAGATGGGGATTCGGTTTAATGTTTCAGCCGAAGGATGGTGTCTCTGACAATGCAGCGCTCCCCTCAGCACTGCGCTGGAGCATCAGTTTAAGACTACATGAGTTCCTAATCCCGATATGGGGGTTGAACCCACAAACTTTTAACTCGTGCTATGACTGAGCCAGGCTTCCCTTTACAGTAAATCCTGTGAAACGCTGAGAGAGGTCTTCCTGGTGTGAAAGGCATTGTATCCAAAGGATTACTATTCCTCCGCTCGACTGGCTCCGTCTTCTGCTTGTCCCTCGTCCCCTTTGCTCTACCATTGGGAGCGTGTTTGTGCCCCCAAACTCTAGAACTCTCTTCCTCTACCTCTGCGCCTTGCTCCTTCCCTATGAGTTCTCAGATCACTTCAGAAGACCTTCCTCATTGACCGTGCTTACTGTCACCTCCTCCCCCCTTCAGCTCAGTGTCAGTCTCCGCCACTGTTAAACGCTCTGAGACGCTGCCCCGCGTGAAGACGCCGTGTAAATGCAAGTTGTTGTTATATTGATCAATGTTCTGAGCTGGTTTGTGTGTGTGTAAAGGGCCTGTGTGTGGATATGTGTATGAGAGAGAAATGGTGTGTGTGAGTGAAGCAGAGCTTCTCAGTCACACACACACACACACACAATAAAGCGTTGCTCAGATGGCTGATGTTATTGTTTAAGGAGTAGTCAGGATTGTGGCTCGGGGAGCCAGCCTTTCGGAGCCCTGAGCTTTCTCTTTCTGCTCTGACGGATATAACCTTTCATTGTGCTGGAAACTCTGCCCCATTGTATGTGTGTGTTGGGGGGGTGGGGGGAAGAGAGGCTGTGTGTGTGTGTCCTCACAGACAGTACAATGTGAGGAAGTCCTGATGGTCACACACCTAGACACACACGCACACGCACACACACACACACACATACATACAATGGCACTGAGCTCATGGTAATGTTAAATGTTGAACTTTCTCTGTGAAGAGAAAGGTGAGAGGTGGAGTCCTGTAGCTTAGTGGTTAGAGCACTCGCCTTGCAAGCAAGAGGATCCGGGTTCGATTCCCGGGCAGGGCGAAACCTCAGGCACGTTTCCTTACTCTACACGCCTCTGCTTACCTAGGAAGTAGGAATCCAGTTATTAGTCGATTGGTGGATCACTTTTCTGGGGGGTAATAACCCCTTCATAAAAAAAGTGGTTGCACTGTTTGTGGGACACTCATGTTCTCTATTCCATGTTTTGTCCACAAAAAATAGTGACAACTCTTTATAGTACATTCTGTGAAGCTCTTTGCAAAGTCAATGAAATAAGGCGCTATAAATGCAAGTATTATTTTTATTAATTGCCTATTTAAATTCAGAAGAAAAAAGCATTTCTCCCCACTCCTCCCTCAACTCTGTCTCCTTCCCTTTCCTTCCACAAATCCCTCCGTTCCTGATCTCTCGTCCTGCGCCCATTGCTCTCCCAAGTCTGCTTGTTCCTCAACCTTTGTGCCACCATAATAATAATAATAATCCTTGCATTTGAAATTGCGCTTTTCACGTCTTCTTGACGTCTCAAAGCGCTTCACAGAATAGATTGTAAAGTGTATATTTGTGGGTGAAACGCAGCAGCCAATTGCGCACAGCAATGTCGCACAAACAGTCGTGGATTGAAAATGACCAATTTATTTTTGTTTTGTTTTGGAGGGATTATTATGAGGCTCTGTGTGGAGTAAGGAAACTTGCCCAAGGTTTCGCCCTCTGCCTGGAATTGAACCCAGATCTCTTGCTTGCAAAGCGAGTGCTCTAACCACTGAGCTACAGGACTCCATGGGTGCCCAAGCGTATCTCTCCATTCCACCATCCTTCACAGCTCTCTTCAACTCGCTCTTAAAACCCCTGTGCCTCACACCTTTTCTCTTTGCCTTTGGCGTTTGCTCTCTGGGACATCCTCCTGATGTGAAAGCTGCTATATGTACATTGTATTAAAATTTTCCAAAAANCAATTTCTGTCTGTGCCCTGGGTCAACAATCTCATCCCCACCCTACTTCCCAGCTTGCTCCGAGATCCTGTGTGTAGGCACTGTATAAATCTGAGTTGTAGTTATTCACTTGTAGAGTGGAGTCCTGAAATATGGTTAGTACTCTCCAAGCGAGTGGACCTGGGTTTGAATCCCGGACAGGGCGAAACCTTAGACTAGTTTCTTTATTCCCCATGCCTCTGTTTACCCAGCAGCGAGTAGGAGCCCGGGTTTTAAGTTGATTGGCAAATCGCATTCCGGGGTAATAAAACCTGAAAAAAAGACTGTTTGTGGGACACTGCTGTGCGCAATTGGCTGCTGCGTTTCACCCATGAAATACATAGTATATTCGATGAAGTGCTTTGAAATTTCTCAACAACGTGATAAGGCCCCATCACCCCAGGCCTCTCCAGGCTCCCTGTCCCCCAGTAAATCAATTTCTGGTTTGTCACTGTCATCTCTAATTTCCTACATACCCCTCCCTCCCACCTCCCCCTGGGCTCGGCTTGCTCAGGCTAGTCGCCCTCCCCCGCCCTCCGCATCCCCCACATACACACACTCACATACACTCACACACACTCGCATGCACATACATCCTCACAGACATTCGCTCAAATATACACTCACTCACACACTCTTAACATAATATGAGCGCAGAGTAAAGCCAGTGTTTGAGCCCCAAATTATCCCAAAGCCAATCACCTAAGATTCTCAGCCCTGTCCCCACCATCGCCTGACTTATAGTATCCTCGACCTCCCCACCACTGTGTGGTGAAGTGCTCTGAGACGCCATTTGGCGTGGAGGGCGCTATATAAATCCAAGTTGTTGTTGGGGGTGGGGGGTGGGGGGTGGTCTGTGTGCGTGTAGGATGGGCTGTGTGTGCCTGGGTGGGGTCTTTACAAGTTGAGCTGTCTCTGTTCTAATGAGGGAGTGAGCAAGCAGCAGAAATGGGGCTGAGCTGTGCTGTGATTGTTTGGGTTTGGCTGACAGTGAGTGGCAGCCTCTGGCACTGACTCACACCTGAGCAGTGATAGCTGTCAATGCACATCATTGTAAACAATCACAGGCGTAACGTGTGTGTGAGCGAGCGAGCGAGCACCGGCACAAACACGATGGGAAGAGAGCAAGGAATGGGATTACGATACTATACAAAACTAAATAATAATTTGGTAATTCAATCCACGACTGTTTGTGGGACGCTGCTGTGCACAATTGGCTGCCGTGTTTTGCCCACAAAAATATACAGCCAATCCACTTTACAGTATATCCTGTGAAGCGCTTTGAGGTGTCTCGAAGACGTGATGAGGCGCTGTATCAAATGCAAGGATTATTCTTCTTATTATTAATATAGCGCCTTTCACGTCGGGAGGATGTCCCAAGGCGCTGGACAGTCAGGAATTTGCCGAAGGAGCGGTCGAAGAGGAGGGCTTTGTGGTGTGAGGAAATGGGGTTAGAGTAGAGAGCTCCAGTGGGGGAGCGAGCACCAGCCTGGAGGGCTGTAACCTTTGTGTCAGCGCCCGAGGCGAGAATGTGAAGACAACGAGAGGAGGTGAAGCTGGTGTAGAACTGGTTTGACTCAGTCTAGCAGCTTTGTTGACTGGATTGCAAAACAGTCTCAGGCTCACCCCACCCACTGGTGGCTGAGCCCTTTGTTTGGGGGTGGGGGGATCAGAGATTCCCAGGCTGCGAGGCCGCTCCCTTGCATGTTCCGTGGCCCGCTATTGAGTAACACTATTATACACAGCCCGAGCTGCAGCCTGGCGCATTGTCACTGTGCTACAACAACAACACATTACACTTGTATAGCGCCCTTCGCGTCAGAAAGGTATCCCAGAGCGCTGTATAATCGGGGGTTTCGGTCCCGAGCTGGGAGTTGGGGTCCAAAGGGGAAGAGGACGGGGCGATCGAAGAAGTAAGTCTTCAGACGGGACTTGAAGCAGGCAAGAAAGGGGTGAGGCAGAGGTCTCAGTGGCCTGAGGTGAGAGCGGTGGCGAAGGTGGGCAATGTTGTGGAGGTGTGGAGAGGTGGAACGGAACACGGCACAAATGTGGGGTTTGAAGGATACCTGAGGGTCGAAAGTGACACAGAGGTTTCGGATTGGCTTGGTGAGGTGAAGAGTGCGGCCATGAATGGTGATAGTGTCAGCGGCTGAGGTGAGGAGGCGCTGCCGGGAGCCAAGCAGACGACTCTGTCTTGCCAACATTGAGCTGGAGGAAGTTGGCTCTCATCCAGGACTTGATGACAGACAGACAATTTGCTGGGACATTAATAGTCCCGGAGTCCAGGGTGGAGGCGGCGAGATAGAGTTGTGTGTCATCCACATACATGTGGAAATTGACCCCTTGCCTACGGATGACATTGCCGAGCGGGAGCCTGTATAGATTGAAGGGGAGGGGACCGAGGACAGAACCCTGAGGGACGCCACACATGACAGTGCGGGGGATAGAGGAGAAGCTGTTGGTGGACACAAAGTGCACTGACCAGAGCGAGGCCCACAGCCTGCGCGCCACACTAACCACACTGCGTGTTTGCTCCCAACCTCGGAGCTGGCCCGGGTGGCTGCGAGCACTGCCGTCACCCCAATTCAGTGTCCCTGACGTAGCGTGCCGTTAAACACTGGGGCCTTCCTGCTTCTATGCTGATCTCCTGGTTGGGGGTGGAGGGGGGGTTGGCGGAGATTAGGGGATTTTCTTTTTGGCAGCCGCGTGTCCTAACACACGCAGAAACCCATCACCGTGCATAAGAGTCTCCAAACCGAGCTGAGAATTCCATGCAATTCACCCATACATGGAAATCCCAGAGATACGTTGTTGGTCTGGAAGGCGCTCTCTCTCCCTGAAGGGATGCATTCTGCTTACCTAACCAGTGGGAGAGTGGGGGGGGAACCTGCAGCCTGTGGCGGGTGTTTATGTTGTGCGCGCGTGTGCTCACGATAGTGTGAGCCCATGTATATCATAGAATCTTACAGCACAGAAGGAAGCCATTCGGCCCATCGAGCCTGCACCGCCTTTTTGGAAAAACTACCAACCATTCTCATCCCACTCCCTCGCTCTGATCCCAGAGCCCTGCATATATTTCCTTTTTAAGTACCTATCCGATTCCCTTTTGAAAGCTTTTATTGAATCTGCTTCGACCACCCTTTCGGGCAGTGTGTTGCAGACTGTTAACAACTCTCTGGGTAAAAAAAAACTGTCTCCTCCCCTCTGGTTCTTATGCCAATTATATTAAATCTGTGTCCTCTGGTGACTGACCCACCCACCAGAGGAAACAAGTTTCACCCTGTCTACTCTATCAAAACCCCTCATAATTTTAAACCCCTCTGTTAATTCTTGTGAATGTTTGTGTTCGAGTAAGTGTGTGAATGAGCACGTGTGAGAATGAGTGTGTTTGACAGTGTGCATCGTGCATCCCTTGACTGGCTCCGTCCGGCCTTCCGCCTGTCCCTCATGCTCTCCATTCCACCATTGGCAGCCACGCTTTCAGCCGCCATGCCCCGAAACCCTAGAACACGCTTCCTCCATCCCTCCGCCTTGCCCCTTCCTTTCCCATCTTCAGATCGTGCCTGAAGACCTTCCTCTTTGACCGTGCCTGCGGTCACCTCCCCCTCCCCTCGCTCGCCGTCGAGCGCTCTGGGACGCTACCTTGCGTGAGGGGCGCCGTGTAAATACAAGTTGTGTGTGGTGTGTGTGTGTGTGTGTGTGTGTGTGCGCTGAGGCGGGACAGGGCAAAGTGTAGTGGAGTTTGCTGCTGTTGTGAAGTTGACACAAACACGCTGTGAGCAAGAGTCTCAGTATTCTATGTTCTGTGTGCTTTTATATAAAGAACCGGACTGAGGATGCAGGAGAACCAGCGAGGAAACAGCTGATACAGGAGCCTGCGGAAGTCGAGGGCAAACACAGGTCAGATCTCACTCCCACTATCCTTCCCACACCTTTATTTCAGATCAGCGCTGCACCCTTTGTGGTTTGATTGTGACATTAAATCTGTTGTGATTGAGCTGGGTGTAATGGTATTGAACTTCCTCAACCTTTCCCGTCACTATTTGTTGTCAGACGGGCTCAACCATTGGCGCTAACTCCCCCCATCCCACCCCCCTGGGGTCAGGACGTTATGGGTTTGAGCCCTCCACATGTTGGGGTCTCTGAGCTCACAGTCCAGGCTGATGATCCAGCCCAGCACTCGTGGGGAGGAGAGAGAGAGAGAGAGAGAGCCGCATTGTCAGAGACACTGTCCTTCAGATGAGACATTAAACCGAGTCTGTGCCTTGTTCAAGCGGTTATTCCGCAGCGCTGTTGGCAAAAGAGAAGGGAGTTTCTCTCTCTCTCCCGGTGTCCTGGCCGACAATCCCCCAGATACAATCACTCACTCAATTCACGGATGTTTGTGGGCACATCGCTGGGCAAAAGTTGGCAGTTGCGCTCGCCCACAAAACACAATCTCTACACTTCACTGTGGAGCCCTGTAGCTTAGTGGTTGAGCATTCGCCTCACACGTGAGACGACCTGAGTTTGATTTCCGGCCACGGAGAAAAGTTAGGCAAGTTTACTTACTACACACATCTCTGTTTACCCAACAATAAGTTGGAGCCCAGTTGTTAGTCGATTGGCGGATCGCTCTTACAGGGATAACAATCCCTTAAGAAGAAATAATCAATAAAAAATAATAATAATTTGGTCAATTAATCCATGATTATTTGTGGGACACTGCTGTGTGCAATCGGCAACCGCGTTTCGCCCACAAAATACAGTGAATTCACTTTACAGTATATTCAGTGAAGCGCTTTGAGACGAATAGAAGATGTAATAAGGAGCTATATCAAATGTAAGGATTATTATTATTAAGAACGTAAGAATTTGCTAAATGAAAGAAGACCAAGGTCCATCTGGTTTGCCTTCCACCATCCTGGCAATCGCTTGACATGTCATGTCCCAAACTATATACTGTACCCCAGATATTATTTTCTAGCAGAACTCTATCTAATTTGTCCTTGATACAAATTAATTTTTTGCTTTCACCGTCTCCCTATTATTATCCTGTAACGCACTTCGAGGCATCCTTACAACGTGATCAGGCATCGTATTGAATGTAAGGATTATTATAGTACAGTATTACTAATACTCGCTGTGTGAAGCACTGTGGCAGAAGGTTTGAACATAAGGCGTTGGATCAAATGGAATTTTTATTATCAGAGAACGACCATAACATCCTGTTCTCAAAGCCCTTCCTGGACACCCTGTTTCAGCTCTCAATTGCCATCTGTGTGTCACAGAAATGCCTTCTGAAGGCTGTCCTGAAATTGGAGTCCTGTAGCTCAGTGGTTAGAGGGCTTGCCTCGTGAGCAAGAGGACCCAGGTTTGATTCCCGGGCTGGGTGAAACTCTAGGCATTTTTCCTAACTCCACACACCTGCAATAAATAGGAACCTGGTTGTTAGTCGATTGGCGGATCTCTTTCCGGTGATGATAATAATCCCTTCAAAAATAGTACTAATAATTTGGTCACTTAATCCACGACTGTTTGTGGGACGCTGTTGTGTGCACAATTTGCTGCGTTTTGCCCACAAAATATACAGAGTATTCTGTGAAGCGCTTTGAGACGTCTCAACGACGTGATAAGGCTGTATCAAATGCAAGGATTATGATGATTATTATCTGAGAGCGTTGTTCCGGGTTTACTTTCTCAGTCCCGCTCAGCATCTTGGGTGTTGCTGCCGGGCAGAGGGTCCTAGGATATGGACTTCCCCCCCCACCCCCCATTTTGTTTTACTTCCACCGTCGGCAGCTGACTATACAATACGATTCACATTTACAAGGATCCTGTCACGCGGGAGGATGTCCCAAAAGGGATGAACACGGCGTGTGTGCATTGGGAGCTGCTTGTGTGTTTTCATGGTATGCCTATTTGTGGTTTGTCTGTGTGAGTGTTGGTGCGTGTCTGTGTGTTGTGCGTGCACATGCTTGTGTGGGTCTGCCTGTGTGTGTGTGTGTGTGTGCAGTGTCTGTGTGTGTGGCAACTATAAATTGAATGGCTTTGGTCACCTCGCCCAGTGTCCTTGGTGGTGAAATGCTCTCCCCACCCAGTTATAATCCACGTCACTGCTCTTTCCCAACAGCTTCACATTATAGCTGCTTAGTTCCCTTGTGAACTCTCTATCCTATTGTTCCCATCTCTGCTTATTTGGGATGGATTTCACATTCAAATGCACCTCTGAGTGAAGAAATCTCTCTCCTGTTCGCTTCAACGTAAATAATCCTGAGGCGGTGCTCACCTCCCCACGCATCCCCCCATCACCCCACCATGCCCTGTCGCCCTGGGTGAGGGGCACTGTAACTGCAAGTACATCCTCTCTCAGTCTCATCAGTCTCAGTGAGGTCAGCCCAGTTCAGCCCCTCTTTCTCTCTCTCTCTACACAGCCGATGTGTGCGGGTTTGTTTTCACACTAACACAAGGCAAGTCCAGGCTAGCACTGAGCGTGGCTGACAACACTCACTACACTACTCAGTGGAATTTCCCAATTCCCGACGGTTTCTCTCCCACGCACACATTCAGGAGGAGGTAGGTTTGAGCCCCCCCCACATGTTGGGGTCTCTGAGCTCACAGTTCAGGCTGATGCTCTAGCGCAGCGTTGGGGTGGGAGAGAGAGAGAAGGGGGGGAGCACAGCACTGGGAGAGACGCCGTCCTTCAGATGAGACGTTTGATAAGAGAAGGGAGTTTCTATCTCTCTCTCCTGGTGTCTGGTCGGTAATCCACAGATTAAGTGCTCATCTCTCTATAAATTCCATGTCAGGGAGTCCAGCCTGATTATTAATAATAATACTCCTCACATTTGATACAGGGCATTATCACAACATTGAGACGTCTCAAAGCGCTTCACAGGCTATACTGTAAAGTGAATTGTTTGTATATTTTGTGGGTGAAATGCGCATCTAATAGCGCACAACAGAGCCCCACAAACGTGGATTGAGTGACCAATTTTTTGAACGGGGATTATTGATTGTTGTACTGAGTGACTGCAGAGTGGAGCTTCCTGTAAACCATGATATACAATCTCGGACGTCGTTAAGCCCATCGCAGCCAGGACACTGCACTCACTCAACAAACTGCCCATCCCTTTGGAGAGCGGGTGGTGGGGACTCTGGGAGTAGATCAGATAGGCCACTCAGCTCCTGGTAACCCCGCAGCCAAAGCCCTAACTAACGGGGAGGGGGGTCCTCGCTGGACAAGCAGCGGGAAAGCTGCCGGACAGTGATATCAATGGCCGAGCGGTGTGGGTTTAGCCGGTTACACTCCAGCCGTTACCCCAACACACACTCTGGCCCCCCCACCCCCCAAGCCTTGGCTCTCACCAACCTGCGCCTAATAATAATCCTTGCATTAATCCATGCAGCAAAACACAGCAGCTAATTGCGCACCGCAGTGTCCCACAAACAGTCGTGGATTGAGTAACCAAATTTTTTTGTGAAAGGGATTATTATCCCCGGAAACATGATCTGTCAATCGACTAACAACCAGGTTCCTGCTTACTTCTGGGTAAACAGTGGCGTATGGAGTAAGGAAACTTGCCCAACATTTCTCCCTGCCCGGGAATCGTACCTGGACCTGTCGCTTGTGAGGCGAGGGCTCTAGCAACAACAAAATCACATTGGTAAAGCGCCTTTCACGTCGGGAGGACGTCCCAAGGCGCTGGGAGCTACAGGACTCCATTGTAGCTGTCCGGAATTAGGTAAGCAGGACGCGTCCATCCAGGGGGAGAGAGCACATTCCATTCCAACAATATCTCTGGGATTTCCAAGTGGAGGTGGGAATGAGTGTGAGATATAGGAGAAAACCGGCTGCATTGTTTACCCTGATTCCCCTGCCTCACTGTGGTGTCTTTTGCCATCTGGTGGTTACTGTGCGCTGCATGTAGAAGCAACCATTATTTGACTAACATTTGTTGTGTTAGACACAGCACCTTATTAATAACATCAAAACGTCTCAAATCACCTTGTATAGTTCTTTTGTAATTGTAGTAATATAATCATTGCATTTGATACAGCGCATTATCTCACGGTTGAGACGTCTCAAAGCGTTTCACAGAGTATACTGTAAAATGGATTGGGTGGCAAACCGCGGCAACATCTCTGGGGTCTCTGGGCTGGATGCGGGGAAGGGGTATCTGGGTGAATGTGGTGGTGGGGGGCGGTCAGTCTCTGCGGTAAGTGCGGAGGAAGGTGGGGTGTCGGTGCCTGTCTGGTGACAGTCTGGTGACAGAGCGACTCTCACCCTCCTCACAGGCTGGGGGCTGAGACTGATAGAAACACCTGAGACTGAGAGGTTGCCCTCCCCCCACCCACAGGGACCTGAAGCTGAGGAACTATGTGCCTGAGGACGTGGAGCTGAAGGAGCGGCAGGTCCCCAAAGCCAGGCCTGTGCCAGGTCAGTGGAGACAGCGTATACCCCCTCCACCCAGTCTGGTTCTCCTCCCTGCAGTCTGGGGGACGCTGCCGGGCTGGGGAGAAGGGGGCTGAGGGACGTGGGCTGCTGGGCTAGGAAGTGGGGGGTTTGCTGGCCTCGAGGGGGAGGTGGGTTCTCGAGTAGGTTGTTGCTGGACTGGGGGGAGAGGCTGCAGGCTGGGGCGGAGGTGCTGCAGGTGGTGGGTGGGGGGGCGCTGATGAGAGGTGTTGCTGGCTGGGGGCAGGGGCTGCAGGGAGGGGCTGTCAGACTGGGGGGAGGGACTGGGGGCTGGGGGGGTATTACCGGGTTGGGAAAGGGGCTGTGGGTTGGGGAGCGGATGGGGGTTGGTAGAGGGTGTTGCCAGGCTGAGGGAGGGTCTGTGGGCTGAGGGAGGGGCTGTGGGCTGGGGGGGGCTGTGGGCTGGGGGGGGGGGGTTTCTGTCAGGCTGACTCTCTGCTTGTTCCCCAGTGGAGGAGAAGGTGAAGGAGCAGCTGGAAGCAGCCAAACCGAACTCCATCATTGAGGAAGTGGTGAGTGTGATGGGCTTTGCTGAGGGATTGGGTTCGAGAGTAGGGTGTTGGTGGGTTGGGTTCTGGGGCAGAGCATTGATGGGTTGGGTTCTGGAGGAGGTTGAGGTGCGGCAGTTTTCCTGTTGTTTGAGAGCACTGTGCTCACATAGACTATTTCATGTTTTGTTACAGGATTTGGCAAATCTTGCTCCGAGGAAGCCTGACTGGTAGGTTCTCACCCCGGGCTGAGGGCTGGGTGGTGAGGGGCTGGGAGTGAGGGATGGTGGTGAAGGGTTGGGGCTGAGGGCAGGAGGGTGAGGGGCTGAGGGCAGGAGGGTGAGGGGCTGAGGCGATGGGGGTGAGGGGGTAGGGCTGAGGCGATGGGTGCCGCTGGCAGTTCACAGCTCACACTCACTAAACGCTGTTTACAGGGATCTGAAACGGGACGTGGCCAAGAAGCTGGAAAAGCTGGAGAAGAGGACGGAGCGCGCCATCGCTGAGCTAATCCGTACGTCACTGACAGCGCCTTCCTGAGCTCACACCCCCTCCTGCCCCTCCCACAGCCACACCCCCTCCTGCCCCTCCCACAGCCACACCCCCTGCCCCTCCCACAGCCACACCCCCTCCTGCCCCTCCCACAGCCACACCCCCTCCTGCCCCTCCAGCCACACCCCCTCCTGCCCTCCCACAGCCACACCCCCCCCCTCCCACAGCCACACCCCCTCCTGCCCCTCCCACAGCCACACCCCCTCCTGCCCCTCCCACAGCCACACCCCCTCCTGCCCCTCCCACAGCCACACCCCCTCCTGCCCCTCCCACAGCCACACCCCCTCCTGCCCCTCCCACAGCCACACCCCCTCCTGCCCCTCCCACAGCTACACCCCCTGCCCCTCCCACAGCCACACCCCTCCTGCTCCTCGCACAGCCACACCCCCGAGGGTACGAGAGCGAACGTGTACAGGGAATGCACACGAGGAGTGCGTGTGAGAGAGAGAGAGAGAGAGTGTGAATGTCAGAGTGTGTGAGTGAGTGAAAGAGAGTGTGTGTGAGGTGGTGTGTAGTGTGAGTGCGTGGGGTGGAGGGATCCGGGGAGATGGGGTGGCATGTGGGTGCGGTGGGGGGCAGAGAGGGTGCGGTGTTTCTGCCCGCCATGACTGACACGTCTCTTGCTCGCTGACTGCTCACAGGCGCGGTGGACCTGGATGCCATCGCAGATGAGACGGAGAGGAAAGCGCTGGAGGGAATCATCAGTAACTTCGGGCAGACTCCATGTCAGCTCCTGAAGGTGAGACCACAAGGAAGCCTGACCTCTCCCCCAAGACTTCCCTTATCCCCAACACTTCCCTCCCCCAACATCTCCCCCTCCCCCAACACTCCCTTACCCCCAACACTTCCCTCCAACACTTCCCTCCAACACCTCCCCTCCCCCAACACGCCCCATTCCCCCCTCGAAGCTCCCTCCCCAAACACACCCTTCCCCCCCTAACACTTCCCCATTCCCAGGAGCAACGATCGGCTGGCGGGTTGGTAATGGGGGGCAGGGATTGACTGGCGGGCGGGTTAATGGCTGCTGTGATTGCAGGAGGCACACCCCACGAGGCTGACCATGGAGAACGCTGCCCGACGCCGCGCTCGCTTCGACACCTACACCCTGGACGTCTTCGAGCACCTCGGCCATCTCAAGTCCTTCTTCGTGGAGGTGACCCTCGGTGGGGGAGGGGAGAGGGGGGAGAGGGGAAAGAATGAGAGAGAAAATGGAGGGAGGAAAGAAAGAGGGAACGAATGAGAGAGGCAGTGAGAGAGGGGTTTTTTGATCAGGGTGGTGTGACTGTGAGTGATGGAGTGATTTTTGTTTTTGCCCAACGGGTGTCTGACACACACAGAAACCCATCACCGTTGCTTAAGAGTCTCCAAACCAAACTGAGAACTGCTGGAGTGTAACCGGCTAAACCCACACCGCTCGGCCATTGATATCACTGTCCGGCAGCTTTCCCGCTGCTTGTCCAGCGAGGACCCCCCTCCCCGTTAGTTAGGGCTTTGGCTGGGGGTTACCAGGAGCTGAGGGGGAGGAATCCCCGGCCCCCAGTGACTGGTCGGCCCTTCCAGCTCCTGCTGATGAGCCGGGCGGGCTGTGCTGCCATCAGCAGTGAGTGCCCCGGGACACTGCGGCCCCTCCTGGTCAGGACCCGGACTGGAGACCGGCACAGAGGGGGGGCTGGATTCTGACATTTTGTTGCCCAACATGTCACCCTGGAGCCAATTCCCCCCAAGTCACAAGTTGGTTGTTTGACGTCCCAAGTGTGGGTCTGAGCCCGAGGTCACCAGGTGGGTGGCAGGTCAGGAGCTCTCTGTGAGCTTCCTGTGGGCATCACAGCTCAGCATGAAATGTGTGAGAGCATTGCCACCATCTTCCTGCCCACAGCTCGGGCACACATTCCTTCCCATTGAGTGATGGTCCCACGATTTGGACGTGTGGAATTTAAGTAGCAGCTGCTGACCTCTCTGGGTGGATTCCAGCCGCTGGATGTGTTCACAAACTCGGACTCCACGTAGCGCCTTCCAGCAGCTGTCACCTGAAGCCTCAAGAGTTTCCTCATCGGGAGGGAAACGAGAGAGGGAAGGATAGTGGGAAGGAGGGAGAGAGAGAGGGAATAAGGGAGGGTGGCGTGGGTTGCTGCCATCGGGAACTGGTCTCTTTTCTCACTGTTTTCTCACTCTCTCTGTCACTCTCCCATTTTCTCTCACTCCCTGTCTCTCTCACACACTCTCACTCACTTTCTCCCACTCACTGTCTCTCTCATTCTCACCATCTCACACACTGTCTCACTCTCTGTCCCTCACACTCACTCTCTGTCTTACTCTCTGTCTCTCTTCTCTCTCACACACATTCACACTCTCTCTCACTCACTGTCCCATTCTCTCGCTCCAGGGAATCAGTGATGACATTCCTCTGGTCCAGGCTGTTGTTCCCAAGAATCAGGCTCATTCGTTCATCACACAGGGATACCCCGACCTGCTGGTGAGTGTGTCCCCGCCTCCATCCCCAGCCCCCCCACGCAGCAAACCCCACACGGGGCCAACTCCAGCCTTAGCAAGGAGTGCGCAGGGAAGGGGGGGATGAGGGGAGATCGCTGGGGCGGGTGGGGGAGGTGAGAGAAAGGCAGGGGGAATGAGGTGGGAGCGGAGGCGGTGAGGGCAGGGGGAGGGGGAGTGGAGTGTGTGTGTGGGTGGGGGGATGTCCGGGGGGTATGTATGTGTAGGGCGGAACTATTTTCCTGTGAATGATGGGTGTACTCAAGCACAGTCACTACACTTGCCGCCGTTGCCCATGTTGATTGTGGAGACTGACAGCTTGGCTGTGTGTGTGTGTGTGTGTTTGGCAGGTCACAGTGAGTGTGAACGGGCTGATCGGAGCCCATGGCTGGCTGCCCTACGACAAGAACATCTCCAACTACTTCACCTTTACACGGGACCCCACCTCGGCCAGCGTCAAGTGAGTGTCCACACCTGCCCCCCACCCTCCACCCATTCCCCCCACGCCCGCACCCCCACCATGCTCACACTCCCCCCATCCCGCCCCCCATGCTTCCCTCTCCCACGCTCACACCCCCCCACTCACCCATTCACCCCACGTCCGCACCCCCACCATGCTCACACTCCCCCCCCCGCCCCCCATGCTCCCCCCTCCCACCACGCTCACCCCACCTCATGCTCACAGTCCCATAAGCGCTCACACTCCCCACACAAGCTTATACCCCCCACACACTTATCCCCACGCACTCCCCCCTCCCCCAGTGTTCACCCTCTCCCCTCGTGTCCCCCTCTCCCCTCGCATTCACCCTCTCCCCTCGCGCTCATCCCCCACACTGACCTCACCCCCACTCCCCACACTGACCGCCCTGTGATTGCTCCTCAGGACACAGCGGATCCTCTCAGGCCCCTTCGCTCCCGGGGCTGAGCTGTCAGCCCGGACACTGGTCGTGTCTCACGATGGCAAACTCCTGTTCAGCGGCGGCCACTGGGACAACAGTGTGCAGGTCACCTCCCTGAGCAAAGGCAAAGTGACCGGACATGTCACCAGGCACATCGGTCAGTCACTGAGGGCGGGCGGATGAGGGGGCAGGAGTGCAGGGGGCAAGCGGTGGGGGCAGAGGGGGAATTTGTGGTCTGAGAAGGAGACAAATCGGTGTCTCACAGTAAAGTACCCATGGAGTCAATGGGATGGATATAGTAACCTTCTGGGGTTAAACCGAGGACCCACTTGTGCTCTGACTACCCGGCCGTAAGAACTTTGGAACAGGAGGAGGCCATTCAGCCCCTCGAGCCCATCCCACCTGTTTGATCATGGCTGACCTATACTTCAACTGCATTTACCCACTTTTTCACCATATCCTGTAGCTTAGTGGTTAGAGCACTCACCTCTAAGAGAGAGGACCTGAATCTCCCAGATACAATCATTCGCTCGTTTCACGGCTGTTTGGGACACGCTGCTGTGCGCTGGTGTGTTCACCTACACAATGTACAATAATAATTTTTGCAACAAAAAACAGAAGTCGCTGCGAACTCTCATCAGGTCAGGCGGCATCTATGGAGAAAGGAAAGTGAGTCGACGTTTCGGGTCCACAACCCTTCGTCAGAACTGGGGCACGTTGGGAGGGAGAGGCTTTTAAGGGCTAAGGGAGAAGGGGGGAGTCAGGGCAAGGAAGACAAAGGAGAAAATGGGGTAGAGGATAGGGGATGATGGGTTAAAGAGGTCTTAATGATGCAGAAAAAGGAGGGATTGCAACAAAACAGGCAGATCAGGGAGAGAAAAGGTGCGTCTGGGGTCCAAGATGATGTGGTGATGGTCACAGAAGAGGAGGTGGGGGAAGGTGAGCTGTTATGGTTTGAAATTGTTGAAATGAACATTGAGGCCAGAGGGCTGTAAGGTCCCCAGCAGGTAAATGAGGTGCTGTTCCTCGAGCTTGTGCTGTGGCTCATTGGAAAAGCGTAGGAGATGAGGAGACGACAATAATTTTTGCATTTGATATCGCAGCTTATCAAATCGTCAAGACATCTTAAAGCGCTTCAAAGTGTATTGACGGTATATACGCAGCAGTATCCCATAAACAGCTGTGGAGTGAGCGACCAATTTTATTGGGGGGATTGTTGGCCAGGACACTGGGAGAGGGAAAACTCCCTTCTCTTTTTGAATAGCATCGCGAGATATTTAACATCCGACTGAACAGGCAAACGGGACCTCGGTTTAATGTCACGTGGAAACGTCTCAAAGCCCTTCACTGAATTGTTGCCAAGTGGAAACTCCCAGATGCAAAGGGCGGTATACATGTGTAATTTGTTGTTGTTGTAGTGACTGTGTGTTTGATTGCAGCAGTGTAAGGGTGGGAGTGTGGGGGCTGACGCTGTGTGTCTCTCTCCAGATATCGTGACCTGCCTCGCACTGGACCTTTGTGATATCTACCTCATCTCTGGCTCCCGAGACACCACCTGTATGGTCTGGCAGATCATTCAACAGGTAGTGTAACCCGATTACTGTAGAGAGCTCCAGTGGGGGAGCGAGCACCAGGACAGACACGGTGGGCAGAGAGCAGGGAACGGGATTAGAGTGACGTGGAGCACGGGGCTGGATTTCCGGGTGAGGTTGAGCTGT